TTCCAACTTCCAGGATTCATCCCCGTAATCCTCGAAAACAAAATAAAGCATGTACCACTCAAATTATGCTTAAACCTAGTGTTAATCATGCACAACCCACAACTTCTCATCCATTTTAAAGTATAATTTTCAGGAACAACTGTTCAATTCCCCATGGTTAATTCTTGGTATTCATGTATACTTGTTATTATCATATTTACATATGAATGATATATATTTTATGAAATGATGTTTTGAGTAGGTTTTAGCTTGGAGTCTATATTTCTCCTTGGTGGCGTACATTTATGTGATTGCATTCATATTTGGTTGGTAGATCTATTTTCTTAATCTTTTCGTGTTACTTGAGTCCTACACAAGGACAAATGTTTCCACGGGGGAGAAATTGGAACACCTCAGATCTCGAAAAAGGAAAATAAATCAATTTTAGCTATTGGTTTGATTATACAAGTCTAATTTATGGGCCATAGACGATTTTAAATATTGAAAAAGGCATCCATTGAAAGGGGGTTGATTTTTGTGAAAAATCTTCTTTGTAATGGTGAGTCTATGATTGACCAAAATGATACATTGAATGGTTTTTGAGATGGAGATTTGTTTCCTATAAAGATCCCAAAATTTTGAAATTTAAAGGCCAAGACTTGTGTTACGTTGGGGTCTACTGACAATAGAAATTCTACGGTGTCATAGACATGTCTCATCAAAAGATTTTAAACCTTAAGTATTCTAAAATTTTTAGTGGTTTACCAGGACAGTCCGTAGAAAGTCATACAAACCACATGTCCAAACATAGAAGGCTTTGACAATTATTTTAAGGGGTTTTGGGTCTTTTCCTATGTGTTTAATGCCAATGTCACGTCATTTTAAGTTTTAAAATGTGAAATTCTAGTAATTTTCACAATTTCCTAGTCCCAATTAAATTTATCATCTCCAATCCTCTCTTAAGCGAATAAAGAAGAAACTAGCATTTCAAGGTCAAGTCTCCAATTTACCATAGCTTTTGGAATTGGATCATGAAATTATGTTAGTATTCATTAATGGAGACATTGCCTCCATTGGATTCCAAAATATCCCATTTCTCCTGGTTAAATTCAGTTGATCAAAGTTAGGGTTTTCTATGATCTTCATGGGTTGTTTTTAATTGTGATAGCCTATTTTCTATCTTGTAGAATCGAAGTCTTTACGTGTTTTTGAGTTAAATTCATATGAATCCATGAATGATCCATGAACTTTTACAATGATAACATAATTTAGTTTATGAACTTTTAACTATGAATTTATGTAGATGTGCATGTTTTTACAAGATTGATGTTTATGACTAGGGGATGCTATTAGATAAAATATTAATGAAATTGTGAAAGGTTTTGTACATAATAATACGATCATGATTGCAAAAGGATTACTCACATAAGGATTCATATGTTTGAAGATGTTCTTAGATAAGATGAATTATGATTTAAGGATATACTCTAAATGACTATAATTTTGATTGGTAACTTAGTTGTGCCTTTCTATGTATTATGAAATGAATATGATTAATGACTATTCCATTAGATTTTACTTAGCATTGAGAGGATATTAAGATTAAGGCTTTCCCATTAGTAGAGACCACGTCTCTATAACAATCTCCTTGTCCCTAACTACATTCCCCCGTATGATGTATTAGCTTGTAAATACACATAAGCAGAAGTCTATGGTCTTTACATTGGCAAGTAGGACATTTCTTTTAAGGGTCAGATATACACTAGAGTATATTTTAGCTCACATGGTCTATGTCACGAGGTTACTTCTGAGTATCTCATAATGTGTTTTGAATATGTTAATCTTGTATCGACCATGATTATGAATTGTGTTATCGAACCCTTTTGTATGATGATCTATCTTGGTCATTGCATTTCATGTAAAGTCCATGTAATATGATTCATATTGTTTATGCATTGCTATCATACTTACTCCATTACTTGTAATTATTGGATACTGGTGCCTACATTATTTCAGTAATGTATGGTATGACTCTCCTGTCTCACATTCTAGTGTCTAGTTTCTCTCACTGACAATTATAAGATGTTGAGGTGGAGAGTCCACATGTTTCGAGGACTCTGACACTATTTTTTTCAGTTGTCAGATAATTGTATATGGTGCATATATTACATCCCAACTACTTCTTTGATGTATTAGATGTATTGTAGAGACTATGTTAGACTTTCACTTTGTCAAACTCTTTTGATATGAGAATGCAAATTTTGAAATGTTTATTTCTACTATTTTGTATTGTGTATGCTAAATGGTTTGTGTAGGGCTTTAAGTGTTCTATATGCCTTCTTACATCTAGGGTATAATTTGGGCGGTGACAATTTTATATACATGACAACTTATCTGACAGAAGGAAGAGTTAAGCTTAGACATATATAAATTAATTTGGTTTAGGTATTAACAAATTGGAGGCGCACTTGAACTAATAGGTTGAGGACTCTGAGGCCCGATAACCAATGTCGTGGATGATGACCAACTAGTGGAATGAAAATGGATGTCTGACCATTCAACCATACCTTATTCGTTATTTTCTATGTTGAGAAGGATTACAATAGATAGGAAGTTGTAAATAATGTTCCTTTGGAGGTTAGAAACCTTTGAGCCCCATCGAAACACTTTTCCATCTAATTCTTGGATGATGGCATGAAATTTGAATTATCTGAAATAATGGAGGATTATTAATATAAGGAACATTACCTCTACATTTGAAAGTTTTATTCCACGTAGACAAAATGACATTCCTCGCATAACAACCAAGAAGTGCAAGATGCAACATCAATTACTTGATTCAATTATCTTTATACAACCTCCCCAATGCGAAGAAGAAAAATTTATGTAATGTTCGGGGGTGAACTGAATAAGTTCAAAGTGGAAAGAAAAGTGGTAAACTTAATTTTGTTATGGAGAGACGTTAAATAAGTATCTTATTGGGAGGCAACTCAATTTTTAATGTAGGTTATTATTTTTTTAATTTTTAGTTTTATATTTTTGTGTTTTTCTAGATTAAAGGATGTTTGATTATTAGAAATTTAAAGAATAGGAACACATTTGAACTTAAGTGTGAGATGCATACGACCCTTGATAAAAACTGAGAGAACATGATACTAGTTATTACAAGAGGCATCAAGGAGTTCTTTCTTTGTGTCTTAGATTATGTATTGAATTGTTGCACTCGGATAGTTCCATGTTTAAGTGTGGGGGTGAGGGAATGAAGTGTTAGTTTTTGATGTTTCATTGAATCATTTCTTTTTTAGGATGGTTCCTCAGGTTTTGTTTTGTTTTTTCTTGAGGATATACCCTTTGAATCAGGTAGATATTTTCATTGTTTGTAGATTAGTTGTAGTAGTAGTGACTTGTCCTGATAGTTGATAGATGACTGCCGTATTAAGAAAAAAATAGTCATAGATTTTTAGGCGTGTAAACCTGACCTTTGGAACTTTGAATCCCAATTTGGAAATTAGCCAGAAGTCATTGGTAGTTCATGCTGAATCATGTAGATTAAAGATGTATTTCTTCAAAAACACATAGGTTTTTAATTGGACTCTAGGAAAAAAAAAGAAATTGGGCGTAATTGTGTGAATTCACTCAATGTTTTTGCGTTTGGGCATGAAGTTATTATGTTTCTATATGTGTATCATGTTTCCATGTGTGATGAGTGTTTTTTGGTTATTTCATAGAATAACATCTAGAACTAACCCCTTATGTTTTTTTAAAAAATTCACATGTATGAAGTCATGGAATAAGATATAGGCATTTGCTTGTATATCTCGTTCAATTCTTATTTGTTCCTCCTTAAAATCATCCCTAGTTAAACCTATTGAAAATTGTAGCCTATTTCTTTGTTAGTCACGTATTGAATCTAATCCATTTCTTGATACTTATATCAATTTTATCAGAATATTAAAGTTCCAAAATGCATTTTTGGTAAAAATGGGTTAATAAAAAGATGAGTAACTTAAAAAGTTAAGGTGAGTGTAATGAATGAGAGATTTAATGAACAGAGCCTTTGAAATATTTAGAAAAGTGCTGCCTGCATATGAAAAAACACAAGCAAAACACTGATAAGTTGAAATAAGAAAAGTTATGTGCGAGCGACAAATGCTTTGATTACTACTGTTACGACCCAATTTCGGAAATTGAAGGGTTTTGAAACCGATTTTGCAACTTTGGCAAATTTTGTTAAATTTTTTGAAAAAAAAAAATTGGGAGTCGCCCCTTAATATTTTAGGAAAAATTAAGAAAACCATAAAAATAACTTTTTATAGAAGATATTTTTTAAAAAAAACAGAGTTGATTAAGGATTCAATTAATTCTCTAAGGAAGGGTTTAGGCACCCTAGAGAATCTGTTAACATGCGGTTGACCGACGAATTTTAAAGTTGACTAATTCTTTAAAAAAAATTTAAGAATAGTTGAAAAATCTTGTTTATTAATTTCAAACTACTCAAAAAATAATCTGCTAACATGCGGTTGACCGACGGATTTTAAAGTTGACTAATTCTTTAAGAAAAACTTAAGAATAGCTGAAAAATCTTATTTATTTATTTCAAACTACTCAAAAAATTCTTGTTGAAAACTTAGATGAAAATCTCTTGATATTTTTCAAGATCTCAAGAATAATCCTAAGACTTAAAACTTTTATCCATAGTCATATTTTGAACCATACAAATAATTCAACACATAAACATAGATTACAAGACTTTGTTCAACAACTATGACAGGATATTAAAGATCGTCAAGTCATTCATACAAAATTATAAGGTAAATTAGATACTAAATTAGTTTGAGAAACATAACAATTTTATCCTATTCAAAAATTTCAACTAAATAGTTAGTTCAAACTCGTAACATGGATTCAAAGCATTTCAATAATTATGAAAGAACATGAAAGGTCGTTAAGTTATTCTATAAGCTTAACATACCTAACTTAAAATGAGTTTTGGAAATTTTCGAAGTAAACAAGAGACATAATACGAAATAAAAATCCCTCCAAAGATTTATCTAAGTTAAGAAGAAGGTTAATGAATACAACACAAAATGATATGAGAAAACGAGAAACTAAATCGAACAATATAAGAATAAACAATATAAAGAGAAAATTAGTCTTTTCGCCTAACTTTTAGCCCCAATTTTGCTGCTGTAATAAACTGTTGCACTTATTGGACTTTTGGGGAGTCCAAAAAATTATTAAATTTCAGCCTTTTCAAGGCTAGTACTGCTGCCTCGTTAAGTATGGGGTTCAACCCATTTTTGCTCCTCATTTGAGCTCGTTGGAGCTGTTGTTGCTGTACTTTTGGGTGTCTAACCCAATAATATTAGTTTCCATTCAATCGTCATAAAGGAGGTTGACTCAAAGAGAAAGGAATGCAAGGAGGGGAGTCTTGATAAACTCAACGAAAGAGTGTTCATGCACAAAAGAAAGAGGAGATAAATATTTGAATCAGTCAGAAATAATATTAATCTAAGCTAGTAATTTAATATGCCTACAAGGACCGTAAAATGTGCAAAATTTAAAGCATCCATTCATATTAAAATTTACAGTACATCAAAACTATATTAGTCATAATAAGGAAATAGCAAATCTAATAAATAAATAAGAAAAAACAACAGTGCTTCCTTTCATTCAAATCAATATATATGCACGATATGACATTCTAATTTTTGACAACAAATCCATAAGTTCTAAAAGGATTCCAAAGGAAACATGGTGAGTTAACTTGTTGCCGGAACAGACCGAAATAACAGATCATATGACCATTAGTAATATGATAATATGGAGAATCGGGCAGATTTCAAAGCAAAGAAGGCTAAACCACTATATCCAAACTCAAACTAGTCTTTAAAAGATAGCTAGAGCAAAAGACTACTTCATGAAGCTTTATAGGGAGAAAGCCAGTGAACATTCAAAACTAGACAACACATCTCAAATAAACAGTTTAAGATACAAAATGGAAAGGAACTGTTAAATGAGCTCACATTAAAAATCAAAATTAGACCAAAATCTATTTGAGAAGAAAAGAAACCTTGAGATAATTTGCATTTACACATCACAATTAAAAGAAAACTAATCGACTAGACCTAAAAGAGAATTATATCTAACGTAAGAAGAAACAAGAGGCTTCTTATCCATTTCCGATACGATTAAGAAAACTAAACTATGAAGAGCAAATCATAGGTATTTAAGAAGCTATTAAGACAAGAAATAAAATATTAAAACCATAGTTTTGAATCCGATTACCCAACTTACATATTTAAAGTTTTCAAACCAATGAGTTGTTATTTATAACATATAACAAAACTAAGCATCTTCAATGGGAATCAACGCAGAACAGAAACTATACAAAGCAAGTATAGATGGTATAGAACACGTAAGTTAGCAAAATAAAGAGGTTTATGAGACTAACCCTTATAAAACAACAAAAAATCATACTATCGAATATTAAAACAGCATGCATATCCTGAAGCATTTTAATTCAAAATCTAGCATGAAGGGAAGCAACCAGGATTTTAGAGCAATCAAATACTAAAGCCTGAAAAAAAACATTCTTATTTAACATTGCTAAGGTATGCACAACTATGGATCAAGAAGCTAAGGTAGGAACTAAAGACCTTTTTCATATTTGTAGCAATCAAAACGTTTTGAAGACAACAAGAACGCAACCCAACAACTAATTTTCACCTTAATACAACAAAAGAGCAGTTGCACAACCTAGTATTTATAAAACAGACGAGAAATCAGGCTTTGACAAAAGGCAAGGTGATAATCTTAATATAGAACATAACAACTTAAGACAGAAAACAACAACTATATAGCACAAATTTCTAACAGAATAGAGATAATAGTAAGTGGAAGAACATGTACGGACTAATGGATTTTACGAAATAAAAGAATCACATTTACATGGAAAATAACCATCAGTAGAGCAAAACATTTGAAATCCTTCAGAATTTAACTTAACTTTAAGAAGACTTTCACTGTCATTCACACCACTAATCATATTGAATCTAAACAGATAAATAACAATACCAAACAAATAACAACTCTACAATGCAACAGAGAGAAGAAACTGAGAAAGGGCAAGAAGATTACCTGGTTCTGGGCAGCAGAACCAAAACGACGAGTGAAGACGACTGCACCTCTTCAACTCAAAAGCCACAAAACTCTTTAAAATTTTGAACTACGGTACCAAGAAATCCCAAAATTTTATGGGTACTCTTTGTTCTCTGAAAAATCCTCCCCTAAAAAGTGAATGAAGAAGGTTTATATAGGGCAACTTCTGGGTTGGAATTGAGGGGGAAAATGATGTGGGAATGCCTCACGATTTAGAACTCTTAATGGATAAGGTAGAGGGAGCTGGAATTCGTACGAATTCTCAATAGATTGAGAACCAAGTCCATCCGATTATGAGTAAGGAGGAGCGAGCGACAGGATTGAGACACCTGCTCTGTTCGAGTATGCCTGTACGAGAGGATAAGGAGAACACACGATGTTTGATGGTTTCGCCTCTGATGCGAGTTGGAGTTTCGCCATTTTCTGGTTTTGTGGCGTTGCTTGCGAGTCATTTTTCTAAAAGAAGGAGAAGAACATGGGCTGGATTGTATTGGATATTTGTTGGGTTATTGAATTAAGGGCTGATGGGCTTCTCGTAATTGAAACAAATGGATTGGGAACATTGGGTTAGTTGAATTGTCTTGGAATGAGTTAGTTGATGGTATTGCATGAGAATTAAAGAGTTTTGGCCGGTTCGGATTTGGGCTGCTGCAAAAAGGGCCAAACAAAATGGGAGAAATGTCCCCAAACATAAACTTGTCAACAATTTAACTAGGTTTCGACCATATATATTTAAATTATAAACAATTAGAAATTTAAAATGTAGCCAAGCTCGATCATAGGATAAGATCGACTAGTGATTAAATAAGATGAATCAATATAATTAACTTACGAGCTTCTTAATATTAAAAAAAAATTAGTTTTAACGTAAACTAATGATTCAAAAATTACTTTAACTAAACTAATTTAACAAAATACTTACTAAAACAATGAAAATCTTCATGAGTTGATTTTCGGATAGTTATAAGATATAATAAGCATTTAAAATAACTTGAGAAAATATTTTGAATTTTATAAAGTCAACTATTTTGAATCCTTTGGAATTTAAGAAGCTCGAAAGTTAAGTCCTATCGTGGAGGGGTTAAAATTGGGTGTCAACAACTACAAGGCGGAAACAAAAAGATTAAGATGGAATTTGTAAAGGTTTGAGCAAAGAAGATAAACTAAGGCTAAGAGAGGAAAAAAATGGTAAAGTGTTGTATTTTTAAATAAAAGTATTAGGGAGGAGAGTCACTATATGTTTCAAAAAGTACTCTCCCCGACCTGAAGCTGAAACATCTAAAGAAAGTTTTTTTCATTCCATCAGTAGTATGCATTGTAAATGTAACTATACACTAAGTGTAAGCCTATGTCACATTGTTATATGCGGAAACATATTTTGTGAGAGTGAGTTTCTAGACTTTTAGAATTGTTCCTTTAAAGTTGAATCATTGTGAAACTACATAACAAGACAAGGAGTGTACTCAAAATAGTGGGGTCACTCATGAAATCTGCATGGGATTATTGCTGTTTTTTTGTTTATACATGATCACAATAGCGTAAAAAATTTGTAGGGAGATGATTATTGTAACGATTCAAAAAAAAAAGAGAGAATTATGTAAATAAGAATAAATAGGTATTTAAGGGCATAATTGTCCTTTCACGTTTTAAATGAATAAATAAATAAATAAATAAATAAAACAGATTTGTATTTATTTATTTTAATGTTATTTGACTAATTCTTGAATTAGTCTCCTAACCCAATTAGTCCCCTCTCTCTCACGCTTCTTAACTCCCTCTCTCACGTTCTCCATCTTCCTCACATTAATTCTGCCAAAATATCAACAATTTTCATGCTTGAAGAACTCACAAAAAAAATTTTT